TGAAAGAGCATCAGATTTACAAGATACAGTGAGACAGCGGAGCTGAGGCTGGGCAGGGTACAGGTTAGAGGCACACACAGACTGCTGATACACTCCTGATTGCTTTTCCCACAGGCCAGCCCACCTGGCTTCTTTTTCCTCCAAAAGCACGATTGCCGCACAGGCAGCGGTACCTTTTTAGAAGATGGGTTGGACCAGTCTGTGGAGGTACAGAGGGAACCACTACACAGTGCCAGGCACTTGAGCAGTGCTGTTTTCTCTGATTTCAGTGAAAGCTCAGGCTGTCCCACCTGCCTTACCTGTCCCTCTGAGCTGCAGCTGTAGTCCTTGTGACCTCCAGTACAGAGCATGTTTGGTAAAAAGAGAGCAGAGAGGCTGTCCCTCTCTGTCAGGGAGTGAGAAGACAGCAGCAGAGCCTATTTAATGTGCTTTTCCATTGGGTGGTGGAGTTTCTTTCGGCACGCAAGGCTACGATCCATTCAAGTTGCCAGTCTCTCCCCATGGTATTTTCTTACAGGGATTTCTTGCTGCAAGTAATGGTACAGACAGCCTCACCCTCATGTCTGTTATGCTTGAAATTTGCAGCAGCCTGCAGATCTCATGAAGCAGCCCAGCTAGCACGATGCTGTTTTTAGGCCATGCAGGGGAGACAAGACTGCAGGGTGCTGCCGCCTCCCTGTCCTGCTCAACCGTCCCATGGGTGTGCCAGGTCCAGCAGGCCACCAACTTGCTGTCCCGCTGCAGGGCCAGGGGTGTCTGCAGAGGGGCTTGCACCACCCCCACTGTTGTGGGGTTGACTCCCACGCATGTGAATGTGATTCAGAGGGGTGAAATCATGGCTGTGCCCCTCAGTGCAGCAGAAGGCCCAGGGAGCCACTCACCCCCGTGTGCTGCCCAGTATGTAGGGCCATGCAACCCTCCCGGACAGGAGCAGTGAGGGAGCAGGTGCCCCAGCAGCTCTGCATGCCCAGCTTGCCTGCACCAAGAGCAAGAGAGGGTTGGCTTCACTGCCATTTGCACGTTGGCCACCACTGTTTAATAAAAAACTCGGTCCTATACAGGCTCATCAAGGCTTGGCGTTAACTCCACAGGTGTGGGGAAGCACAGGGATGTGGCAGAGAGAGCTGTAGCAGTTTGCAAACCTGTGTTTCATGGACCAGAAAGGCTGTTGCCTTAGAATATAAGTGCAAAATTGGTGAGGAACTGGTACAAATATATATGCTGGCTGATAAAACAAATGTAGGTGATTTGTCTTTGTTCTGCAGCAGCTTAAATGCTTGCATCCCCTGCCATTGGCAATTTGTCTTGGTTCTTTTAAATTCCTAAGTGGATTATAATTTTTCTTGTGGTATTATTTGACAACAGTCATATTTCATGGCTTTACTGCATTCTTTGGATAGTTAGAATTTTTTTAAGGAAAGGAGCTCAGTAAGAGGCAGCCATCTCCAGGGCATGTCGTGTAATGCAGATGCAGACATAGCTGAAAATGTTCTTTGTATATTTATGTAGTTTTTATCCTCAGAAAATACAGGATTTAACCTGTGATGATTTACAGCATCTAAAGCACATTATTACCCAAATGCCAGATGCAAATCCTTTAAATGCTGTAGCATGAGTAAATTTCTCAGTGTTTAATGTACTTCAGTGACTCCGGAATACTCAGTCTAAAAGAATAGTGAATCCTCAGTATAATGAGGATGTTTTTAAGCTTTTCAGACACTAATGGGTTCAAAAATATAGGTATAAAACTTAGCTTCTTTGCTTTTATCTATGCATAAATTCCTGTCATGGATTATGTTTGTATAAAAACGAAAGGGATCATCTTAGTATCCATTTAAACCTGCCCCTAATATTATATTCTCGTTTGCTAGCTCATAGAAATATGCCATATCTAATTAGGTTAGTAATTATTGTACTTAGCATAGGAATTGCAGCAACATAAGGAGAAAATAATCACACATTGCAATATCAAAATAAACATTTCTGTTCTAAGAATGTTGTCAGGTGATGTCATACCATCTGTCCTGCTGTACGGGCTTGGAAATTTTGCTGCAGCAGCATCTGGTACTTTGGCGTGCTCCACAGACAACTGTGGTAGCTTTACAGCTGCCTTTAACTTTGCTTTTATATTTAAACAGTACTAAGCCTTCATGGTCCATGTTCCTATAAATGTGTTTGCTTTTACTAAACTTTGGATACTGAGCAATTTGTATATTTTCCTGGTTTGCAGAATAAGGTACAGTGTGTGAATTATCCTGGGAATTCTCAGTTGCCAAACTAAAACACAGCTCTTGCTTCCTCCTTCACTCCACCGTCACCCTTGGGCCTGGGACAGAGACCTCACCTTTTGGGGTGGACACTTCCCTGGGCCCAGGACAACCTGAGCCCTCAGTTCTGTTCCTATTAAAATGTGGTTATTTGTACAACCTGGAACAACGCCAGCAAAGTCTAAAAGGAAACAGTCCCAAAATAAATAATAACCTGGTCACTAATGGTGGCAATGGTTTTCGAAGTCTTTACCCTGAAGGAGGGAGAGCAGAGAGGTGCTCTGGGGCATCTCACATTCCCAGGGAGAGCACAAGTGGTGGGCACTCCTAGGCAGGCTATGGGAGTGCTGGTGGAAGGGAAGTGTTTCAGTTTAATTTTTCAGAGAAGGCTGAAGTGCTTACGTCTACTGGGGAATTCTCATCGTTCTACTTGAAAACTGGAGATGTTTGCCTGATCATAGACAGGTTTCCATTGACAGCCACTCTTTCTGACCCAGCCCATGCCCCGTCCTCCTGCACTTCGCCCCTGGTAGTTTAGGGAAGCAACAGGAGCAGGTTTCTGGACTCCCTTTCTTGTGTTCCTGGCAGTTCCCAGGTAAATGGGGTGCTGATACATATTACTGAGATCTAACTTTTTTGGTAGGCAACAAGATACACAGGAAACGATCAGCATGACTTTTAGTTATTTACTCACAATACTGCAAGGTAAATATGTGACAACAGTGTCAAAAACACCCCAAAAGTTGGAGCCATGGTGCTTTCTCATATTATTTTCAATTTTTTGGTTTGTTCATTTTGTCGTGTTAAAATGTCTCCTTAGTCTCCTTATGCACCTGCATAATGTAACATGGTAAATCTGACTGCGGACACTGTCGTGGTAGCCACTCCTGGTTGTCCAATGATTTCCTGTACTGTGTGTAAATAATCTGCATGCAAGCTGAACCAGCACTGGGCGAGGGTTCACTGGCACACTTTTATGGGCACTTCTGCACACGTGCGTTCAGGTCCCCACAGCCCATTTATATCTCTGCTATGGTTTGTTTTCTCTTCAAGGTAGAAACAGCTTCTTTGGATCAGCTCTGCCCCTTGTGGGCTCCATATGCACTAACTAAAGGCTGGGCAAGTTTTCCACTTGAGCACAGAAGAAGCTGGGATGGCATTTTTTTGAAATAGGCCTGCAAGGAAATTCTGTGGAACTGTGCTCTCAAGCTTGGACTTGCTTGTGCAAACACCTTCATAAAGTGTTACGCTTTCCTTCCACAAAATTAAAAAAGAAATACAACCCTGTAAAAAGCATGGACTGTATCTCATTTCTGACCCCATACACAGATGAGTGTTTTCTGATTCTAAATTCAGATTTTACTGTGCTGGATGATTTTTAAATAAATTTCAATTTACTTTCCTAAGTGCAGAAATCTAGCCAGTCCATTTCCTTTTCCCTAGAGTTTTGGACATCTGCTAGTGAAGACTTTGCTTACACTGAAGGAAGGCTCTGAGTGGATGTTCAATTAATTTAGATTTGTCATTTCAATTTGTTCATTCAGCAGGTATATTGTAAACAAAATAGCTTAAATGAGGTCTGCTTTGGGGTTTTAAATATTTTATTTGCCTTTAGCATTTGGGAATTGCCCCTTATATACAGCATCTGTTCAGTATGTAGGGTTCTGTAGTGTTCATTGACTGTGTATCAGCTTTCCTTTAATTGAGTTAGCAAAATGTTTTGTGATCTGCATGGTTAAAAACCCCAATGCGTAATCCTGCCACTCTCAGCTCCTTTGCTCTGCTCACATGGCACTGGGAGGTGCTGGTTGACCAGCGGAGGGTTGTCGGGGTTTGCCCTCCCACTTTCATTTCAGGTGCTGACAGTCTTGGAGAAACGTCAGCCCCTGAAAGACCATTTTGGATTCAGTAGGGGGCTGCTGTGGACTTCATTGGGCCAAGGAGTACCCCAGGCAGGAAAGGAGTTGCTGCAGTGATTGTAATGAGGTGCGATGGGATGAAGTTAAGAAATAGGAAATTGGAGCCGAATGTGTTTTGACAGCGATGGTTATCTACAGAGCTGGCTCCTGAGGGAAGTGGTAAAAGTTTGGCTCTGTAACATTACATGAGCCAAAATACTGGAGGACATACAATGAGGACCACTTCTATAGTAATAGCAACACAGAGTAACTGGCCTTCTCATTACTGTCATTCTGGAGTTAACAGAAAATCCCTTCCATGTCTTTTAATTAAATGGCATTAGCATATGCTATAGATAGAGGTTTGGGGTTTTTTCAGTAGACTATCAGGAGGTGTATATGTGTGAGAGTTGTGACACTAGCAGAAATTCAGGCTGTGAGGACATAGGACATTGAACGGCATGGTTTAAAGAAGCAGAAATAGGCTTTTCTTGTGAGCATATTCATCTTATTATTCTCTGCCAAGGGCTCTTTATCACCGTGCTGCCGCTGAGTCTTTCAGTGTAAATTACTCCCTTGAAGATGACCGTGTTTTGTGGTTTGCAGTAGGGACACAGGTTTTTTTGATGTTGACCCTTGTTCACAAGGGGCTACGACACAACCACTAAGTTGTTCATGGAAATCATACTGCAGAAAATCACAGTCCCAGGAGTAATGTGCGAGTCATTTAATCCATCAAAGCGTGCTACCCTCCGCAGGAGTACACGCAGACCCGGGCCTTAATAAACCTCTGTTCTTTTTGTACAGCACTGATTTTCCTGTTTCTTTCTTGCAGTACAATAAACACCTCTTCGTACACATTGGACACGCTAACCATTCTTACAGTGACCCGTTGCTTGAATCGGTGGACATTCGTCAGATTTATGACAAATTTCCTGAAAAGAAGGGTGGTCTAAAGGAACTGTTTGGGAAGGGGCCCCAAAACGCTTTCTTCCTCGTAAAATTCTGGGTGAGTAAGACATGACATGGAGAACCTCTCTTGTTGATAAGGCCTGTGTTTAGTATTTAGCAGCCTTCGGGGTGCTTGTGGAAATTTCTTCTGTCGTCATTTAAAAGTGCGAAGCTGTATATGGTTCAGGTAGGACGCCGGCCCAGGGCCACTCTTGTTGACAGCTCCAGAAGAAGTCTGTGTTGCAGACATGCAAAGGCAGATGCGTGCCTCAACTGTGCTTGCCACAGCTGCTGGGCAAGAGCGAACAGGTACCGGGAGCCCTCGTTTTTAAATGGGAACTGCCATCTAGTGGTCCCAGAAAAAGCAGGAAAGCCGCAGAAATGGAGACTGCTTTTTAGTATTATGAATCTTGAACTTTTGCCAAATGCAAATAGTGCAAGTACCAGTCCTGCAGTCAGTCCATGCTTACGTAGATAGGACCAAGTAGGATTTGAACTGAATGTGCAGCAGGATGACTGGGAGGGTTCCAGCATTTTTCTTAAACGTTTTTTTGGTTGCTAGAACACACCTGCTTTCCCCTTGCCTTTTTGTCAGTCAGCAATGAGATTCTGCTCCAAAAGTTGTATCTGTTCATATCTTGTGAGCAAGAGTGAAAAAACAATTTGAATTTAAGGCTGAGATGTTGTATATTGTTCTAGTTTTGATAAATTCCATTGCTACATCAGATTTTTCTAACTACATTTACAAAAATCTCAGTTTAGCGATGCTATGAGTTCATCCAAAAGGATAATCCAATCTCCAGGATGGATGTTATGCTCACACTAAAGCTTTTTCTACTCATTAATTTGTTGGGGTATATGTTACGGTATACCTCTTTTCATAGCCACAGTTGTCATCCACATGTTTTAAATTTGTCTTTTAAAACCTCAGTGAAAGGGGCATATTCAGGGTCTAATTACAGCATGGACAGGTTGATGCTGAAACGAGAAAAGGTTGGTCTGGAATCACTGCTTATGATCAGATTTCCTGGTGTTTACTGCTTTCAATTAAAGTTTATCTATGTGACCTGGAATACTCTCCACCTTGTACATACCCCAGACTTCTTATCTTGCCAAGAGTTTCTGTGGCACCGGATTTGGAACTGGAAACTGGGTATGAGGGAGACTCTTTCCTCCACTCTGGGTACAGAAGGGCTAAAACACTGAGCAGAAGCTGTGCTGGGCTGCCAAAGAAATCCATTGAGAAATTCATGGGGCTTAGAACTGGGTGTGGGAGCTGTAGACCAAGCATTTGAGGGCTGGCTGAGCGAAGAGGCCAGGAACAGGAGGTGGCAGAGAACTGGGAGCTGAAACACAGCAGGCACCAGGAGTCTGGAAAAGGCAGGTGAAAATGTAGGGTCACAAAGAGGGAGGCAGTAGGAAGAGGGAACATTTGGGATAAGAAGCCTATGAGGAAACATAGGGAAGAAGGTACACAGCAGACAGGTATGTGAGAGGTGGGAACAGGACAAGTGCAAGGGCAGAAGAACTCTGGCTGCAGAGGAACAGGGCTTGGAGGTTAAAGGTCTGTAAATACATTTCCTTGCAAAACTTGGGCTTGAACTGAGGACTGTCATCTCACCAAGCCACTTTGCATAATACATACTTGTGAAACCCACTGGCAAAATTAATGTCACCTCACTTGCCTGTTCTCAGTTCTCACAGAGAATGACAAGTCTCAGACTATATTAGACATGGAAGCAACACAGATTTGTGATACGGCCACTGATGTATGTGTATTGCGTGTTCTGCTTTTTCTCCCTGTGGAAACTGATTTCCAGACATGCTGAATGCTCAAAGATGTATCTAAAGCCTGTAGGGAACTTCTTTGTATCATTAAGATCTCTGTTGTACTCATGACTTCAAAAATTCAACTGCCAGCCTTGGTACACACCTTTAACACTCTTGCCTCAGTTCCCCATCTATAATATGGAGGTGATACCATCCTTTCACCTCAGGTGGTCGCTGAGAAATAAAACTCATGGCTGTTTATAAAGAATCAAAATAATAGCATGACGAAAACCTTTATAAAATTAATAATTCTGTGTTCAGCGCAGGTTTTGAGTAGTGTGCAGGAAATAAGGACTGTGCCACACTGAACATTTCTTTGTGATTACAAGGAAATATTGTATGGATGCTCGGGGTGAGTGTGCAGTCGTGTAGCTAAAGACTATATCATGATGCAGTTCTGCAGTCAGGATGTGCAGGCAACTTCAATCCAACATTTCCTAACCTCACTGTGCCTTCCAATGTAATGGTCTTTTAATGCAATTTTATGTTGTATTAACTTAGAGATTAAAAAGCATGCAATGCTAACATCCTTCTGAGTTATACTTGAAAAATGTGGTGAGGATGCCTTCCTGACCTTAAAATAGGCCAGTGGATTTTCTGTCTCATCAGGTGAGTGAGGCAGAGGGAAGGTGCCAGGAGCAGTGTCTGGGTGTAGCAAGAGTCACGATGAATGCCCTTCTAGGAATAAACTTCACACCAGTGCCCCTCAGCTAGAAATATGCATAGGAAAAGCAGAAAAGGGCTGTGTAACTAGTCAGGAGAATTAGATCCTAAACTGTCAGCTCACTATCCTTCATTTCTTTCACCCCAGTTGGACATTTCTTCAGAAGAAGGATGTTTTTCCCATTTTTATACGGAGTATTGAGAAACTGTTTTGCACAGTCATATATTACCAGTATAAAGCTGGCAAGGGTTGCTGACCTTTTTGACCCTATTAGTAATTTCAAGTTTATTAATATGAAAATAGATTAATTTTTGTATTCTTGTCCTTTTCTTTTCAATTATGTATCCACTTCTGAATCAGTATCCATTCTCTCCTTATCATCTGCTACCTTCTTCTACTCTGGAAGTTCAACTTCTCCCAGGTTCTGTTCATGTTGCATGGTTATTATTTACAATACTCTCTTTATTTAACCCTTTATTTAACCCTTCCCCCCTTCCTGTCCTTTCTGTTTTCTTCTCCCTTCGTTATCATTTAACCATCAGTAGTTCGCTCAGCGCTGTAAGCTACTGAGTGCACCCTAGCATCAGTGTCCAGTGACGGTCCATGTTAAGGTGGAATTTGATTGGAACTTGAGTAAAAGAGGAATGTGAATTTGTGTTGATCAAATAAGTACAGATGAGAAAGCACCGCAAGGAGAATCAGTGAATGAAAAATGGAGACTGTGAGTGAAAGGAGTTGAGGGAAACCAGAGAAGGAAAGCAGGCGAGTGTTGTGGCACGTGGAAGCTTGAAAGCGAAGGTGAGGATTTGATGCCAGAAGGGATGGTCAGCCTGTAAACAGATTTAAAGAGAAATCAGCATACTCCTAGAGGCAGCAAAAAGAGTATTTTGTTTAGATGTTAAATCTAGTGTGAAAAGGGAAGACAGAAAACGGGAAGACCTGTTTCTGAACAGAGACAAGCACTCCCATTGAGGATGACTAGGGCAGAAAGAGGCTTAGCTCTGGTAGCTGGAAAGAGTACTCCTCTTGCTCTTTCCCATTTAGTTCTGCTTGAGGCTCCTCAGCAGCATGTTTTTTTCCCTGTCATAAAGGTAATAAGGTTTGGTTACAAAAAAAGTGGGAGGGAAAGGTCTAAGATCTTGCAAGAAGACATTTGGCAATTGTGGAGTTGACTTTGCAAAGCATCACAGGTATGGAGTACAAAGTGAAGCGCTGCTTTGCTTTGCAGAGGTTTATTGGTTCACACAGATTGTATCTCCTGTGAAATACAGCCTGGTGCTGGGAATGGATGAGCTGCTGGCCTCAGTCCTGGTGACACATCTGGACGTCACACTTCTGGGCCTCTTCCTACCTAACAGTGCAGGAGATAAAAGGAAGAGACTTCTTTTATACCACTTCAACCAACAAACCCTACAGCCCTGTAAAGGCATTTACAGGTCCTTGCCTTGCACCCTGAATGCAGTGACTCTTTTCTTTTGTTTGTCCCAGGTAGTCACTGGGAACCACAGAGTTCAGGGCAGTCACCCCAGAGACAGGCTTCTACCCTAATAGATAGAAGGAGCTTTACTTGGTGTGTTGTACACTCAGTACAATGAGTAAATAAGGAACAACATACTAGTGATATGGCACAAGAAATTTGTGTGACAGTGATGTGAAACCGGAGATTACAGGGGTATAAAATAAAAGCACAACTAAATGTTCTTGAATAAATGTAAAAGTTATTTCCTAGAACACTGATGAGGAATTCAGACAAGGCTGCAGAATATCTGCAGATGAAACCTTTCCCTGGGTGCAGGTTGAGTGCACAATCCTGCTTCAGTTCCCTTTGTCACTAACAAAATATGCCCAATCTATGCAAAACAGTCAGGCATGATTTATAGCAGCTAATCTTAATCTGAGTAAGACCAACATACCTGTTGGTTAGTTTGTACTTGAACTGTTTCTGTGACTGAGAAAAGCCCCAAAGTTTTTTGGTCTTTGAAGTTATCCTTTTTTAGATAAAACTCAGTCAACACAATTCGCCTTTTGGTTTCTTTTATTGGTTGAAGTTCTACTCATATTGATAGCTAATGCTATCCCCACTCACTACTGAGTTACTCACTACTATTCTTAAATTATCTAATGCTAAATGATACACTTAGGCCTCCTGAAAGAGTTCAGGCTAAATGATAGATTGCACCTGCAGCTTGGCCCCAGTGCTGGTTGCCCAGTGCTCTGCCACCCCTGGCTCTCCACTTTTCCTTGCAGAAAGTTGACAGTATGTCTGTCCCACTCCCACCAGCTCCCTTGTGCGTCAGTTGCATCTCCAACAAATACCATCATTTTGGCTGCTGTTATGGTCACATACATCTCCACTGACTCCAGTGAGGGAATTGCTGTATGAGGGCATAACTCATTTTCTCCCTTTAGCTCTGTAACTTGCCCTTACCTAGCACTAGTTCAACTGGCAAGCACTTTTCACTACTAGAGACACCTTTAATGTGAATTCAGCAGTGTGTATCTGTCCACTGCAGCCCAGACCAAATTCTTCTGGTTTAGCTCATTATTGTTCTCTTGTGTTTTGC